CAGCAAACTCTGCTTGGGCAAATAATTTACACAAAAATAACCCAGCACCTCGGGGTTCCTACATTTTTACTTTCAACATTTGCAGGCAGTCGATTATGTTTGCTCACTCCAGAGTCTGTGCACAGCCCACAGACCTTGGGAGTCGTGTCTAACTCTTACACTAACACACAAACTTAGATGCTCTCTGTTAAGCAGCACTTCACACAAAAGATCTACAGCATAGACCTTTGTAAGCTATTATTCAACCTTTATGTAACCTTACCCAGAGTCAGGCCATCATTTTCAACTTCCCTTATCATCTTATCTCACCCACGAGACCCTGCTGACATGCTCAGCCTCGGGGGAATCACCTTATCTCTAATGTGCTTTCACTCTGCTGCAGTATCACAGCCAGCTGGGGCCCAGTTTTCAGATGACATTTTCACACTTTTGCGTTACCAGAGGACCTATCATTCTTTTCCATGTAATCCTTCCAATGTATATTTGCAAATTGCGTATAATTTAAGGATTGTGAATAGGTAATCGGCCAGATGGGCACCATATAATTTCTTACGGTTGAGCTTCTACAGAAGAAACATCCTCTGAGAGCTTAGTGACACTAACAGACGCTAGCATGGCTGTAGACTCTTTGGTCTTATTGAAATCTGTTTTAAGGAAACAGTTTCTCCAGCTTCTCCAATGAAACATTAGAGGCTATGTGTTTGATTTAAGGCACTGTCAGTGAATGTTTGAGCTTCATGTGAATGTTTTTTATTTCCAGGTCATTATGTGAAAGACCAACATACGTGAACTCCAGCAACTCCCTGCATAAGCAATCTCAAATGAGACTGGCTGGATATAATTCAGTCTGAGGATTTGAAAAAACAAGAGGTTTCTCCGGAGATGAGTTTTTGTGTCTTTGGTTTGACATTTGCACATCTGCTTCAGTCATGGTTTGTGGATCTTGCAGGAATTCCATTTGAAGCCATCTGCAAAATGGTCTAAAATACATTTCTTCTGTAGTATTTATCTGCATCTGCTGCAAGCTGAAGGATTTTAAATGGTTTATCGAACACCCTTCTGTGCACATCTGTTGTGTGTTTTACACGTGGTTGCAGGATCTCATCTCTGTTAATAATGTAGGTGAACTCAGGCAGATACAAAATATCCAAATATATAAAAAACACATCTCTCTTCCTCTGGTCCAATTCCATTCTACATACTCAGTACAAATACTTTATATGCTAAGAAACGCTTGATTTCTGAGTGTGCTGTTCATGTACACTGTTGTGCCACAATGCAATGCACAAAGGAAGTAGACAAATTATGAAAGGTGAAGGAACACAGGACACAAAGGTGAGAATTATGTTTTGCAAATTGTATTATTTTACTTATATCACTGAATAATAATAAAATATAATTACCACATTGTAATAATTGTATTATATGCTATATGATGTTATTTTACATTTCTATTATAGATATTTCTTAGCATTGTATTATCAACGTCTCGTGTTTTTATTTTACTTATACTCTATTTATATTATATAACACTATATCCCTTAAGATATTATTAGTTATTATTCATACCAATATCCTTCAGTTCACACGTTATGGTTTGCTGGAGTTGCACTGCTGGATATATTTTTCGCAGTTCACTGTGTTGTCTATGTAGTCTAACATAATGTAACGTCATCTCTTTTTTATTAATTCATCACAATCTGTCATCTGTTCTCTTACTTCTTAGCCTGTCTCTGTGCTGCTATCACATGTGAATTTCCCCCTGGGGATCACTCAAGTGTTTACTTATCTTGAGTCATGAGTCCAAGCCTCTTTAATGTACCACACTCGGAGCCCAAAGTCTCTAAATTAGTTCATTTGGATTTTGTGTTTATTCAGTTAACTGTTCAGTTATATTTTCAATCAATTTTCTTTTTCCCAGCATGAAGGTCTGAATTTAAAGCCTTCTACACATTGCCAGGAATAGGCCTACTGTTCAAGTGGAGAAAAATAGATAGATTTATTATATAATTTTAGTTGCCTAATATATTTAGTCTAAAATATTGTAATCAGAATATAAAATACCAACCTTCTACATATTTTCAGTTGTAAAAACTCCATGTTGCTAAACCCCGCCAAATCCAAGGACAAAGTACAGAAAACTTGTCGCTCTCAGTGGTAGCTATGGCCCGGGTCAGTATTGTATAGAATGGGCAACACATCTATCTGTCTCTTCTTTCTCACACTCTCTAGTTGAGCTTCAGTGTTTACCATCATAAATTCACTAGATGGAGCCATTGCACTGTATAAACTACCCACATTCAGTTGCGTAGTTTGGGTTTTCATGACAGCTTCTACATCACTTATGAAACAATCAATTTACTCCAAACAGACAAGAGAGCATCAAAATATACAATAATAAAATACATTTTAGGTAAAATAGTAATTGTAGCTTTTGCAAATTGGATCTGTGCTATAAGTAAGAAAGTAAAAAATGTACATTCTGAGTGTGTACATTTAAGTCAGAGAAATTAAATGTCAGTTCTATGACATGTTTCTGTCAGAACTGCTACCCCAGAGTTATTTGAGCTCTATGAGTAAGCACTCCAGTTGATGCCTGTCAATTCCTGTCAAATATAATGTTAATGTTTTATTTCTGTGCCTGCTTATTTCTGTCTCCCATTGTCCCTAATGTGTGTGTCTTTTCCACCAGTCATTCCTCACCTGTCCACCTAACTGCACCTCATTACACTAATTAACTTCCGCCTGTGCCGTTGAAGTTTTCTCCGTCAGTTGTAAGATGATCAGTTGGAGGATCACGAGAAGCTGAAACCAGGGAAATGAAATTGATTGAAGGTATAGTCTGACCTTTCTGGGTGACAGATTCTCAGTCATGTAGGTCATGGTATCTAGAAGTGCAAAGTTAAATAGACTTTATTCCAAATTCCAAAGCTATCTTAAGCAAGATGCCTTTGATTTCACAATTTCAGATAGCCTTTAGAAAATCCAGTGTCTTGTGAAAACCATGTATGTCCAAATTGTGAATGTTTGTTTTTTTTGATAAAAAAAAGTATTATAAAGTATTAAAGGGGCTATATGTATATGTGGCCCACTAGCGGAGAGGTTTCAGATTGTAACCACTACCTTCCCAAGCATGTCCTTGTACGCATGCTTGAACTCATGAACGAGCATAGACCAACACAAAGGAGACAGCTTCACACAACATGCTGGAAACTCCCACTGTAACGTTACAGTAATATCTTTATCAGCTTGATGTTGAACTAATCCATGTTGGTTGCATGATCATGTTACATTAACTGCATGTAGCTGATGATAGATCGGTGTCAGCTCACCTTCCCAGTGTTGCCAACTCCTCAGTAAGGAAAGTAGCCATTGGCTGCAAGTGGGAAGCTTCCGGTCAGCAATCTGATGCTAACGCGGAAGTACCTGAAACCTGCATTCTATTGAATGGCCAGCAGGGGGCGACTCTTCTGGTTGCAAAAAGAAGTCCGGCTCCATTAGAAACAATAGTAAAATGACCCTCCTTCTCAGGTGAATAATTACCACGGTAAACATATTCATAATGAATTTATGGTCTCAGTCGCTAGTTTCAAATCATAGTAAATAATGGTCCCAATTATTTTAATAGACCATAAAGCAGAGTATGTTTCAGGGCAGGATTATCTATGATTGACAAGTCGTTACTATGGCAACCTGTCAATCAGGCTAGAGCCGACTTGTACCCTTGGCACTGTGTAAATTTAACAAGTGCCGTTGAAAAAGCTTATTAGGAGTCGGCTGTTCACTTTCTCTGGTGAGTACAAGAAGTTTTAAGTTGTTGTTCGCTAGACAAAGTTATCAGCCCTGTTAAAATGACAGTGAGTTACAGACGCACCTAGCTAAGCAAGGTAGCTAGCTCCGCACACGGCCATTAGCTCCGCCGTATCGTCACTTCCGGGTACTTCATGGTTGCAAAAACTCAACATGGCAGCGCCCTATCGGCCAAACTCGAGGCTTCAAAACGGCAGTCCACAAACCAACGGGTGACGTCTCGATGACTACATCCATTTCTTATATACAGTGATGATTGGCTGTCCTAAAAGTTGCTAAAAGGCGCTAAATGATGTCATTGCTTAATTTGCATAAATGACCATGTGCATGTAATAGTGATGGACACTGTAGAACAGGAATAACATTGTGGGAAAGACAAAAAATGAGTAAAAACAACCCAAATATGTTGAGAACTACAACCATGTAGTTCTCAACATATTTGCACATGTGTGATTCATTTGCAGTCTCTGGATGCGGAGAGTTGAGCATCTCCTGCTCTGACTGAATATTATAAATGAGATTGTTGCCACACTTAGTATAAAGGTTAGACCAAATTTTGTATATTACGTGGGTCACGTCAAGTTACAGCAACTGAGACTGGTGAATAAGCTGTGTACCCATACAATAAATCTAAATTGAACGTTACGAAGCAATCAATGGTAGACCTGTGCTACCATTTGCTGGCTGCCCCTGCATCACTATAGACTAAACAAATTGCTCCACATTTATTTTGTAATGTAACATAATTTCTTGCTGGCTAAAATCAACACTTTGACATAATACCGGTGGTACACAGGATAGTAATGTGGATTGTGTTAGCTGGTGAAGTAATGTGGCAACTATATTTTGCACCGGACATTGTTAGCAAGTGCTCGGTGCTAGGCAGCAAGCTAACGTTATCCAACTTGAGGCAACTAAAGCACAAAAGTAATGTTAGTTTACCTGTCCAATACGATGAAAGCTAACTCTGGGTCAGTTTTGTCGTTTCCAAAACAAAACGGAGGTCTCTCTGTGACTCAAGCCTTTCCGACTGTGTTTCTGCCCGACATCAATCTGAGTCTAGTTTGGCCTGACTGGCTTTAGCACGTAAAGTTTTATTGTTGATGTCTGTGCTGTGCTGCGAACCAGTCATTTTTTGGTGTTAGAAGACTGCATTTCATTAGCTGCAGACGGTGTTCAGAATCAGTAGGCAAGAGGCTCGGGATCACGCATGCAGAAAATCTGACCTGAATTCCTCCACATAAGAAGCAGAATCGCGGCACTTCCAAGGGACCGAGAAAGTAGGCATGTGGTTCATCTTTATGTCAGGTTACAACCTGTTGTTAGGTGGTAAAAAAGTGATTTATTGATAAGTGATTATTAAAAAACTACATATACATTTAATGATTCAAGTGAAAACTGCTTCCATTTTATGATGAGCATTTTATGATGAATATTTCGTCTGACTAATGAGGATGACACTGACAGTGTACACCGCATACCATACCATGCTGCTGGTGGTGGAATGAGTTAGAGTCCAACGGTAAGTGGTCCATTTCCACAATATTTACCCTTCAGTGTGGGACAAAGACAGAACATTATGACTGAGAGTGCCATCCTAAATCTCAGAAGTTTACTATTTTGTTATTTTGGCATTTCTCATTCGCTTACTGTTGTTCTACTGATGCTATTTAGCACAACCTCATATTTTAAAAAAAAGTTTCACATTTTGTTTTGTTTAAAAAAAATTTATACCACCCTGTGTGTATACTATTTATGATGCTAGAGCCAGGAGACAGTTAGCTTAGCTTAGCAAAAGCACTGGAAAAAGGGGGAAACATCTAGCTAGGCTGGCTCTGTGTAACAAAATATGCCTGCCAGCACCTTTTAAAGTTCAAACACGAGATAATGTGTTATTAGTGAGCTTTCGAGGTGCTGCTAGGCGGATTTCGTTACAATGCCAGGCTAGCTAGCTGTTTCCCCACGTTTTTCCTGTCTTTATGCTAAGCTAACTTACTGCTGGAGTTAGCTTTATATTTTGCATACAGACAGGAAGATGGTGTCAATTGTCTCAACTAACGCTCATCAAGAAAGAGAAAAAAGGGGAATTTCCAAAAATGTCTTTGTCTATTCTTTTAAAGTCCTTTTCATAGTTATTTTTCACATTGCACTTATTATATATATTTTAATAGGTATAGCCTACTATATTCTTGTAACTTTGGAATGGTCCGTTTTGTTATGTGTGACCCTTTTTCTTTGCTCTACCTGACTCTAACTGCTGCCATGATTTGTTTTTTCTCCCACCGGGATCATTGCAGTTGTACACAAGCCCACACTGCCGTGTGTACAGGAAAGTAATGAGCTTACATCATACCATCATGTATTATAACTGTAGCAGATGGCAGCGGGTGTGTGCAACAGTCTACTGCCCTGTTGGCTGCTGAGACCCACACCAGTGAGGACGCAGTGTGGTCATGTCTCTTCTTCGCCAGCATCATTGACAACATGTCGGCCTGTTCGACTCACGCAGTGTACCGCACCAACCCATTCAGCTGTCACGCTCTGCTTCTCCTTCACAGAGCTGCAGTCACATCTTGTGCATTCTGAGATTTGTGTGTTTGAGTGTCAGTGTGTGAGACATTTTGCTTAAGGTGATGTTACTAAGGTGTAACACATGGTACTTTATTTAAATGTAAATTAATTAAAAATGAAGATTCTGATTCAAAAAGAACAGGACCCAGTTACATATAAAGGCCCTGTTGAACAAACCTTTTGAGTTTAGACGGCAGCATGTTAGAACTTCATGTCTCATACTGCTGTTTACCCTTTCTTATAATGCCCCAGAATATTTTTAGTACTCCCATTAGCTGTGTTCAGAAATCAAATGTTTTTGTGTGGTTTCTTTGTTTGAAAGATGAATGTGAAAATAATTTCTATGTAACATGTAGCATGTCCTAAGTTTGTGAAATGTGCAGATATCCTGAATTGTTTCCACTGTGGTGAGGCCCCCACAACCAATATCATCAAACAGATGACTGACAGGCTTATGTTTATTACTCTAGTGTGAATAAAGGTGACCAAACCATCAACATACAGCAAAACCTGACATGTTAGCCACGCTAGCATGGCTTTGCATTGTCGGCTTATTTGTTGGTTGGAAAGGACACAAAAGTTCATAAAAAGAACTTCTTCATCTTTGTGTCCTGCTATTTCTACCTCCATACCAATGAACATGCAATGCTCTTACATACCTAGCGTCTCTAGTGACTTAATACATTTTTTAAATGAAAACATCAGAAAAATATTTTCTAGCAATTTTGACACCAGAAATGCATTAAAAACAAATAGTTTCAAAGACACAGGAAGTGAGGGTTTAATTAAAAAACATTAATAAATTAAATGGGGAGTGTGGTCCTGGGTCTTTCATGTGTTAATACAAAGCTGCAGAGGCATTGCCTGCTGTCATGGTGCACCACCTTTTTCTACTTTGATTCATATTTTTGAGGCTGAGCTCCTTAAGGAACTCAACACTTGTTGTTTTTTTAATGACTTCTACATTCTTCTCCTTTCTCTCCATTATGAATGAGGGTCACACCTAAGGGACGCCCACATACAGTGTATTGAATCTCTTTCCTTGTGTCCACCTTTTTTTCTTTTTAGTAGCTCTACTTCCTTCCACTGGCATTTGTAAGAAAAATACATAATCCCAAGATAATTCATGGTGTTTAACCCATTTTCCATTAAAAAAAGTTAGTACCATTCTCGTCATCAGTGGCCTATCCACATTTTAAGGCTAATTTGTGAACTTCTTGGGAACATTAGGTATTTAAATTAGCTCTGATAAATGTCCCATTATCAGTGTGACGCATGGTACCTGTTGAATAAGAAGTAAAACATGTTTTTGTATCAGTTGCCATGTTACCGCTTACTCGATCACTGTCAGTGATGGAGAAATTTTGGACAAGCAATCAAAGAAAACATGCTTGCCGAATTTTTTTCTCTTGCTAATTTATTCATTGGAAAATAGATGGCTGAGTGTTTGTGCCATTCAGCTCAGTCCCTGTGGACTCACATACATACAGTAACTGGATCGCCTGCTCAGATACAGTCCGTTTATGATTAGAAATCACACACACAAACTCTTTCCATCGCTGTTTGGTACATTCATTACTATTCCCCTGATCTTTAACACAGCATCATAAATAATGCCCTAAATAAACTTGATCATTAAACACTATCATTACAGCTTTAACTACTGTCAGTAATTTATTCCTTAGATTTGAGCTGTTTATCAAATACTGTTTACTGCATCAAACAGACACAACTCTCTATTTACTATTTACCATTTTAGTCATTTAGCCGTATGTGCATCTTTCAACCTTTTTTCCTACCTATTTTTGACTCCAATCCAATCACAGCACAGTCTTTTAAGTCATAGGTCACGCATTTTCCAAAGCATTTATGACATGCTGTTAAAGATGACTGTCAGATAGTGTGATTGGAGACAAGCATTATTTCAGTTTAGAAGGTGATCTTTGGTTAGAGGAGCACTTCTCCAGCACGGCCATGGGGCTGACAAGAGTGGCCACCTTGGCTCTCTTTCTGCTGGTAGCATTTGGACCGTCTAATGCCAAAGGTAAGCAAAAAAGAAGACCTACTTCAGCGATACACACTCTTTAGTTTTTTTCTAGACACTTCAAACATCCTTTGACTTTCGTGCTTTAGCCACACAGAAATATGCTTAGCTCATTTAGAATCTGTGCTTCTCTTCAGTTTTGATGTATTTCATACTTTTTTTCAATGTTATTTGCTGCTCTGAATGCCAAAACTGATATTCCACCCATCTTTCAACAATGTAAATTCCTCTTCAAACTCCTTTTGTACTTGCTCATATTAGCTCTTTCATACCTTTCAGTAATTCCTGTTCACATTTTTCTCCCTGTCTCTATTTCCTATTAACTTACACTTCAACTGCTTTCACTTGTTTCATGCTGACAACTGACATTTGAACTGATCATTCGTCCACTGACTGCCTACTTTCAGCTCTTACACTTAATCTGTCATTTCAGCTGCTTACTATGCACACACTGGAGGTGACTTCAGTGCCTCCACTTACTCTTTAACGAACAACTCAACTGCTATCAGTGCTTTCACGTCAACTGACATTTCCACTACTTACATATCAACAATTTTTATCATTCAACTGTGTTCATCTATTTCTCTTAAACCTACATTTTAGCACCTTTCAATGCTTACACACTTGGATTTTCACCTTTGAAAAACAACTTCTCCAGCTCTTCTGTACCACAACTTCCTTTGTTCATATTTATACAATTCATGCAATTAACTCCAACTGCTTTCAGTGCATATAATACACTTCAGCCTTCATTAACTCTCCGATCTCACTTGAACGGCTATTTCTTTCAGTTGTTGTATTTCAACTGCCACTTGAACTACAACTTCAGCTGTCACAGTATTTCAACTATTTCAAGTGTCTCACATGTGCCATAAACTCACATTAATCTCAATGTAGCCTTTTTTATAGTTTCCCCTCCGTCTCTTGCTTACACACAACAAAATCATATTTTTCCTTAAGATCACAGAGGCCTTTTTACCCTGGAGTGAGGCTTCTGTTCTATTTTTCTGTGTGCTGTTTTACAATTTAATCACCACCCATTCGGGGCTGACATCCTCTTCTCACACTTTGCTCTATTTTCACCCTCGTTTCGCTCTCCCTATTCCTCTTAATGATTCTTCAACTTCCAACTATCCTTTCATCCTTTACAATCATTTACTTTTTTTGTACACTTTCCTACCCAGTTGTTTTGTAGGGGCCTTACAAACTTTTCAAATCAGCACAATCAGTACTTGTGGAGTGGTGCAACTGGCTGCTATCAGCAATTTCTGCTTGTTAGTGGACTACTGTATCAAACTACCAGTTACAGCCATAGACTGTCAATAAAAAGGTTACAGCACAGAGATGTCCTGTGGTAGATAAGAAAGCATGTGAGTGAGATATGACAGCTACAAACATTATAATACACACATTCACAAGTTTCAAAATGCCTGAACAAAGAGCCAAGTCAAAGGGGCTTTCATTTCCAGTCACATACTGTAGATCTCTGCCGTTTGCACAGAACAGCTCTTTGGCTCACTGTATCAGTCACATTTAATTGTTCAATGAAAAATTACACCTGTAGTGAGATGCGCTATGTGCTTTAATCTTTAAGCTCTTGTGCTGTAGTTGCTTATCTTTTGGTTATTACACTCCAAAGCACTTTGTTTTGACTGATCTCACTTTTAAAAAACAACATACCAACACAACAGTTTCCATTCAATAATACTACTAGTTTTGCACCAAAACCCTTCTGGTTTGTGTGTTCCCCTATAGTTGAGGAGGAAAACCCGGAGTTCTGGAGGTCACAGGCCCGGAAGACTTTGCAGTCAGTGTTGGACCGGAAGCTTAACACCAATGTGGCCAGGAATATCCTGTTTTTCCTCGGTGATGGTAGGTTACACAACACTGTCATTTTCTCACAATAAAACACTTGACATTCTTGGCTGGCTGAAATGGTAAGATAAGCAGAATCAGGAATTATTGTCTGACCTATACTTTTTTTATAACTGTGGGCCCTTTCGCCTCTGTCTGTTTCCCCAATGAGCTGCACAAAAATAAATATTCCAAAGAACACAAAAACGATGTGGCTAACTACTGTGTTCATCAGGTATGGGAATCACAACATACACTGCGGCTCGTATCCTCAAGGGGCAGCTGCAGAACCACACTGGAGAGGAGACAGTGATGACGATGGACACCTTCCCTAACGTGGGACTAGCTAAGGTACACAAACACACACACACACACACACACACGCACACACTCATACACACGTACACTTAGATCAATGAATGGAACAGATATTGCGCATAGAATATCAAATTATGCATAGGCCTATATGTAAATGAAGTTTAGTTAGAATAAATATTTTCAACTCAACTTGTACATGTGAGTGTGAACATGTGAGAACTTGTGCAATAGATTTGTGTGTGCATTTACAGTGTGAATATGAATGCGCATTTGGTCATAAATTCAGTGTATTCTACCCTACAAAGCTAAAATGCAGTAACTACATAGTTATAAAACTGAGTTAAGATCTAAATCTGACCTTTAATTTTTGTGAAAAGTGGCGGTGTAGTTACTGTATTCTGCCATTGTATCGCTGCTGTAGTAACTGAGCTTTGCTTTGTCATCTCTGGATGGCACTCTCTGCCAAACAAAGACAGTCACTACACACGTAAAGCAAATTAAAGCTAGCTGTGTAATAGCCATGGCTAGCTTTAGCTATGTAATTATTGATCTTTAATGTGTAGATGAAAAATATACATTTTTGAGACTCTAGCTTAATCATAATGGAAAATAAAAACTCAAGCTAAAATTCTGCTTGCTTAGCAGAGTAGCAGTACCTGTGGGTTTTTGACTTAAGTAGACTTTCCATGACTTTGTGTAGTGGCTAATATAAATAATATATTAAAATCTATTTGATATAGCAGCTAGACGTACAGACAATAACAAAACAGAGGTGCAGTAAATTTGTATGAACTATCAACAGCAATAAACAGTATATTATTTTATTTAAGCTCATATTTGTGTGCGTGTGTGTGTGTGTGTGTGTGTGTGTGTGTGTGTGTGTCATGCAGACCTACAGTGTAGACTTTCAGATTCCAGACAGTGCATCCACAGCCACAGCGTATCTGTGTGGAGTGAAAACCAACCTGAACACCATCGGAGTTAGTGCAGCGGCTCGCAACGGAGTCTGCAAGTCTCAGAAGGGCAACGAGGTCACGTCCATCCTGAAGTGGGCCAAAGATGCTGGTAAGTTTACCACAGAGCTTAAACAAACAGACAAACAAACAAATTTATTTTTTTTATATCACTTTTTTGGATTTTAAATCGTGTTAAAGTTGGGGTAGGCAACTTAGGAAACTAGCAAGAGACAGCTAGAACATATCCAACCAATAAGGCATCCCTTCAAGAGCCACTCCCCCAAAACACATTTTCATGCACAGTGAGTGCAGGGCAGAGAATTATCCAGCAAGTGTGCCAGCCATTAAAGGTTTTTGAGTAATGGAGCATCAGCCTGGTTACAGGTAACAGGTAACTCCTGTTTTTTCATCAGTTCAAATATGTTGGTTATTTTCATTTAAGTTTGTTTCTCTGTATGGAGAAACTATTAAGCCAATCAGAGCTAT